TATTATTATTATTTTAATAAAAATAAAGCAGAAGTGTAATTTTTTTTTTAAACCAAGGATACAGCTCAAACGAAACTAGAAGAAAAACTTACTCTTAAAACATAAAATCCCTCAAAACTAAAATTTAAAAAGGCAGTAGGAAAAACCTCCCACACTTCTTGTGTTAAAAACCTCAAAACACAACAACTCTAGTTTCATTGTGGATGCCACTAGTAAGATGGCCAGAGAAACCTATTTATGAAATGCTGAACTGGAGAAAAAGTATTTATCTCCCTTTCATTCATTTCACAACTAAATACATGCATACCAAGTATTTTGGCCGTCTCTCACAGAGTTCATTTCAGATCACGGAAACAACTGTGCTGTAATTGCTTTCTTCCTCTCACTTAAGAGGACACAAGCATTTTCTTACATATGCCAGTCATATTTTAAATCTGTTTTCAAAGCTTATTCCAGTGTATTTCAGTGAGATTAAGTAACCAGTTTGAAAAACATTTGTTGTACAGTGGTATTACTGTTTTGAACAAAAGCTTTTTAATAAAGTTGGTGGGTCTTTTTTGAATGAAATGCAAAACTTATCACCCACAGTTAAAATTAGAAAAAATATGACAACACTGGTAAGTAATGATTCAGCAAATCTGATCCACTGTTGTGTGTCTTTAATATTTAAAGAAAAAAATTGTTGTTTGCATATCTCAATACCACTCACTCCAGAATTTTATTTCTCCTTTGCCTATCAGCAAAACTATAAACTTTATCTTTACATATGGTATTCACATGGCTCTTTAGGTGTGAGCATTTCTTTTTTCATTAAAACATTCTGACCTTTATCACCTGGAGTTTCTTCGACTATTTCCTTACTACAGCACAATTTCTGAAAATAACTCTGTTAGAAAGGTACATAACAATAAACATGCGAAGATTAATAATCCCTTGTTCTAACAGAATAAACTTTCAGAAGGTTACAGAAGCAGCTAAACAATTAAAGCTACAAAGACATGCAAAATGTTGAATCACAAAAAGCAATTTTAGTCTTATTCTGTACTGTAATACTGTTTATTTCTCTTCTCTAAAAAGTTACTTTTGATTTTTTGGAAGCTATATATGTTCACTATGGAAGACAGATTTGTAGAAATAGTTTGAACTAAATAATCCATATTTCATTTTAACAAAGACAATGACATGTGAAAAGCCACAAATAACAATATGATTTCTGCCTACATTGCAGCCTAATGCAGAATGTCCATGCAAACTATGCTAAAAAGCAGTTCAACAGTACAGAACTAGACGAACTAGACAAATAGAGAGACAAACATACAGGAAAAAAAAAGGAATAAATAAATGCATTTTATTTACTGTGTTCTTTGATGGCTCCCAAGCAGTATCTACCTTGCCCACATCTTGCATGTCTTGAAGCTGGCGAAGCTGTGACAGGGTATGGTGTCTCAGGGCTTCGTGCAGGGGAGTATCCCCATCTTTATCCTGAATATCCAGCTTAGCACCTGCACGAACTAAGAGCTGAAAAGAGAAAGAACTCAATTTAAAACTCAAAAAAAAAGCTATTTATTCTGTTTAAAACTGCTATCAGCAAAACTATGGGTTAGGAATGTCTAGGGGGTCCAAAAGGGTTTATATTGCCTTTATATTGCTACAATTCAGAGTTAAGTTTGTTTAAATTTATTTTCCATACTTGGAGCTCAGCCCTCAAATGAAGCATTTCTCTTTCAAATATCAAGCTTATTTCAGCAGAAGCCTACTGCTTGCCTGTGCTCTGAGAGCGCGCTACAAGAGATGCTATTTTAGAGTTCTTTCTACTGTCCAAAACCTTTAATTCTTACAAGACAGCCTACAAACACTGTAACATATTACAGCAATATATCAGAAACAGAACAAGTGAGCAATACTTTAGATATGGATGTATTCTTTACTATTCTGTTTCAATAACCTAAACCTCCACCACTTTCACACCATGCTAAACTTTACAACTTAATTTACAGTATCCTCCCATTAGCAAAGTAGTTAAGCATGTACTTAGGTTTATTCTTACTCAGCAGAAGACATAAAAACCACTGACACTATTAAATACTATCTCAGAACACTTTGGAAAGTAATGAACTGTAAGACTCATCTTTAAAGCTAATTTTAGATACACGTTCCAGCTCACACGACACGAAAGCAAGCATAAGACTGCACAGGCCCTCCAGTTCATCCTGCCTTTGCATATGGCCATAATTTGATGCACCAGAAGTTTTTTAAATGTGCTGTTAAATACAAAAAAAAAAAAAAAATCAACATATGCTGACAAATAATGATTGCCCCTAAAATTTAGACCCTGTCATTGTTGCTATTCAGAACCCTGCAAATAACAGCTGAGGTTTTAACTTTAGTTTTGAGCCTTTGCTACTCTGCAAAATCCGGATTAGCAGCAGAGATAAAAGGCAGAGCCTAGAAACAGGAATACACAAAGGGAGATCTCCCTCTTGCAGAAAGCCAACCGTGTCCTGGGCTGCATCAAAAGAGGCGTGACCAGCAGGTTGAGGGAGGTGATCCTGCCCCTCTACTCTGCTCTTGTGAGACCCCACCTGGAGTACTGCGTCCAGCTCTGGGGGCCCCAGTACAGGAGAGACATGGAGCTGTTGGAGTGAGTCCAGAGGAGGGCCATGAAGCTGATCCGAGGGCTGGAGCACCTCTCCTATGAGGACAGGCTGAGAGAGTTGGGGCTGTTCAGCCTGGAGAAGAGAAGGCTCCGGGGAGATCTAATTGCGGCTTTCCAGTACCTGAAGGGGCCTACAGGAAAGATGGTGAGGGACTGTTTATCAGGGAGTGTAGTGACAGGACAAGGGGTAATGGGTTTAAGCTGAAGGAGGGTCAGTTTAGATTAGATGTTAGAAAGAAATTCTTTACTATTAAGAGTGGTGAGGTACTAGAACAGGTTGCCCAAAGAGGCTGGGGATGCCCCCTCCCCGGAAGTGTTTAAGACCAGGTTGGATGAGGCTTTGGGCAATGTGGCCTAGTGGAGGGTGTCCCTGCCCACAGCAGGGAGGTTGGAACAAGATGATCTTTAAGGTCCCTTCCAACCCAAACCATTCTGTGATTCTATGATTCTTCAGAATCCACATGCTTGCAAGGATCGCAGCCTTTCGGAACCAAAGAATCTCAAACTCTAGAAAAAAGCTAAAAAGAAAAAAATCCTTAAAAGGAATTCAGAACTTAATTTTCAAGGAAATACCTGCCTGTAATTGACTGCAGCTTACCATGTTCCCCAATCTTTTCTTCCACAAATGAAACCAAGAAAACCAGCTAATAGTTGCAAGTCTTCTCCCAACTTCTTACACTCTCTAAATGGACTTACCCTGGCCCAATTTTTCTCTCTCATATTCATATCTTGTGTCTGCCACTAGCTGTTTACTGCTTAAAGAGTTTCTCCTGGAAGAAAATCTCTAAGAGAACTATTTTCAGAGCAACTGGAATCCTTGGCTACTATGGAAATTCAAAGCCTTTGTAGAAGTTCAAAAATCAGTTAAGTATTTAAAAAAAAAAAAAAAAAAGGCAAATCATCAGCCAGCCTTTGTCATGGCAGCAGGGTTTTTAAAAGAACCCTGTTACCTTTGACCACTATTCCACAGATGCCTGAGGGTACAACCCAGCCCTGGAAGGTACCCAATAGGAATTAATTTTGAAATACAGAGCCAGCATGTTCTTTGCATGGCTGCATGAGTTATTTTAGGCCTTCTCAAAGTTAATCCAACTCTGAAGTACGGATACTCTACAGGGTCATTCACTTAAACATTCTCAGATATAGGCACGTCAGTCCAATACACATACTAGTCCTTCTACATGCCTACCTTCCTGCTCATCTGCTACATAAGTATTGTATTCCCAGGTACTGTGTCAGTTCCAGAAGGCCACAAGAGCTCACCAAATATAGCTGCCGAATAGCTTGCAGGATGCAAATGACACTGACTCTAGGAAACCATTCTTTTGGTAGCAAGCAGTTCCAGATATAGGGTCATATCACATGTTTCACTGTAACAGGATCACATCCATCAACCCTTGCAGATAGAGAAACCTTACGGTAAAATAATGCTAAAAAGAACCGCAGATATAGGGCTGCATAGGAGGGACAATTCTCTGTGGGTCTGAATAAGAGAGAGTTTTTAATGTAAGATGACTCACCCTACAAAGAGAAATTAAAAAAATTTACACGGAGGGCCAAGGCCAGGTTGATGTATTCACTCATAGGGAACATCTCCTACAGCAGTGAGTGCTCCCTTGGAGCCTCAACAGCCCACGCTAGCAATCCAAACACTAAGTCACAGAGGTCCCGTATGGACAGCGCACACAGGCCAGAACAGGCAAGCTATGCCAGACACTCATTTCCCGTGCCAGTAACAAAGTTTTGTTAAATTGAAGTATTAACTTCTGCAATCGTGCGAGCAAAAAAACAGAAATAGCATTACTTTCACCAGTAAGGTACTTTTGTTACTGCTTATAGCTCTCGCAAGCTAAGAACAGGGAAAGTTATGCACTCAGAAGACTGAAAAGTAGTAAAACTTGTAAAAAAGATGTTTCACTTCGCTACAATTTGCAAAACCTATGAGCAAGAATAATTACTCATACAGCAAGAGACATCAAAAATGCTATTTGAAGTTCCCATTACAGGACCATAAGACTCAGACAAGTATCAGAGGAACACATTCTCACTTACTCAACAAGGAGGGACACTGGAATTGGCAACTGCATAGAGGAAACCATAATGTACAGGTACAAAAATTCAGCATTCCTGAAATGTCCTTCATATTGCTGATTGACCTTCTATGCAAGTTGGCAGGTTTCTGAATTGATCAAAATTAATCATACAAACCTTCAATGGCTACGTGTTGTTAAATCAGTTTTTAAATACCCAGGGAGTACCCACATCTTAACAGCTACAATCAGCTTGAGTCTAATACCATTAACCATATGGCTTATTGCAAATAAGATACTTACCCTAACAATTTGTGTATGCTGTCGTTCAACGGCAAGGTGCAGAGCAGTTTGCTGGTTAACATTCTGGATATCCAGGTTAGCATTGCCCTGAAAGATATTCAAATCATTAGAGCATTATCATCCCAGCAATCCATCTAGAGGCAAGGCAGTCCATTAGGGCACTGAATATGACCCTGAATATCATTCCTAGCTTGGAGATTTGAGAGCAGCAGTGATTACATACTTTAATTATTCACTGTACAGATGCTCATCTGTTGAATCAAACTAGGTATCAATTTTTTCAGTCCCTCTGCACCGTTAGGCCACTGTAATGATGTCAAAGGCAAGTTTGACCTTTAGAGCTTACCACGTGTCCTCCCTGCTCCGTTGCTTCTGCACTGCAATTGCAGGCGTAAAGCAGCAAACTATTTTCACATCAGATGGTTAACTGAAGTGTGACATTTAAATCCTCCTGAGAAAAGAGTCCTACCTGATGCACCAAAAGTTCAGCCACTTCCACATGATTATTGAGAGCTGCCAGATGCAAGGCAGTGTAACCATCATCTTTTTTCTCGTCAACAATCCATGGTCGTGGTAACTTGGACAACAATACACGCATTGCGCTGAAATAAACATGCAGAGATGGTATAAATACATGTGTAATGTATTTGTTGAATGACAACAGGACAACAGTAAAACAATATTCATTCTCAGAACTACAAAGTAGTAGTAGCTAAAATAACATTAGTATTTTTTCCAAGCAGAGAAAGTGGGTGAAAAACTGTATCAACAGTTCCAAAGAACAGTAATTTCCATGTTCAGTTCCTTCTAATTCAAGCATACAAACAAACCACACAATATCCAAAACAGAGTGCAGGAATCAGATTTTTTTCAGAAGAATGGTATGTAGCAGTAAAAATTACCTTAAAAAAAGTATTCACACAAATTCTGAAACACAGAAGACCCTATAGTTCTCCTTCAAAATCTTTATAGTATCCTTTACTTAATTATTTAATGAGCAAGTTCCACTACATTAGATTTCTTTAAAATCATCGCTTTATAAACTGATGTCACAGAATAACAGTTAAGACTTTCAATTTCTGAGATAAAACTAGAGTAAGACCTCTTAGGCACAGACAAAATAAATGCTGAAACTGTAAAGTGAGTATTAGTGGAATATTTTTGTAACAGATAGTGGCTGAGTATAACATACTGTGGCAGTGTCTAGTACTCCACCCCACTTCTGTATGTGCTTACCAAGATGCCTACCAAAGGAAGGGGGTTGTTATCTTACACCTCAAATTAAAGGGTAGGGAAAAGCAACTCAATTACTAGAGTGTTAAAGCAGACTAAAATCCGTGAAGTCCAAAGACTGCAGTGTTAAGGGTATTAATAAGACAATGCTAGATAAACAAATTGCTCGATCTTGTATTCTCTCAGAAATACACTTTTCTTAAGCGAAGACATGTGAGCTTAGCTTTTGCAATAGGTAAGTAACCAAACTTAATTCCCTTTTTGTCTTATCTTTATAAAGAGCACATGCAGCTCCCTTACGACAGTTCAGAGACAAACAGAAAACCAGAAACTGCTATAAACTTGTGCCAGGAAACCTCTTCTGTCATCCGATCTTTCCCT